TATAAAAGAAACTGATTGTCTTTCCATATGTTTTGTTTTTCTTCATTAAAATCAGTTTGAATGTTTTATTTCTTTGATATAAGAAATAATGAAGAATCGATTTATTCGTTGATTCTTATTGTGTTGTTGTGTTTTTTTTAATGACGATAGAGAAAGCCCCCTGCATACTTCTATTACATTCCATAAGATACCTTTTCGATATGGTCTGTTTTAGAAGTACGAATTGGAAACTTTCTTTATTATTACTTACATATTAATAAACGATATCGAACATGTAGAAGAATGTGTACTCTAATAAACAAGAATAAGTAGAATGAATACAAAACGATTCTGTGTATAGAATCATCCATTGCTCTTGTATATATATACCGCTGAAGGTTCTTTTTTGTGCGTATATTATACATATATGCACAGTCTATTCTTGTACGTAGGCATATGTAGTAGCGAATAGAAGAATCAGAATAATAGTAATATCGAGGCTAAATTTGGCCAATACTACAAGAAGAAGAAAAAGGCACACATACGTTCGCACTTCTTCTGATTGATATATACGTATATATGGCAGCAGGAACTATTTTTGGTTGGGAAAGAAAAAATGACAAGGGCAATAAAATGACGCCTTCTTCTCTCTTATGTGATTAATAAGGACTAGAACTTCCGATTAGGAAGATGATGGTGGAGACTTCCTCCTCCCAAAGTGGACGGACATTTAGTGAAACTTCTAACACTTGGGGTAGTATTCTTTCAGGCTCGTAGAAACATTTTTACAGAAAAGGAATTTTAGGGATTTAAACTCTACTTCGGGTAGATGTTCATGTGAGAACATTTTCTGTTATACAAAATCTTCGATAAAATAGACGCTTCTAACACTAGCCAGTTTTGTGTCTAGCAGAAAGTTGCACAAAAGCATTTTATGTTGAAGTTTCAGTCCATCCCATCGTTAGAAGCCACTGGGAACCTTGATTGAGACGAAAAGAAGATATTAAGCAAAAGAGCGAGAGAGGAGAAAATGATGAACAAACGATGATAATCGAACAGGAATAGAAGCATCGATGCATGAATATCGTTTCCAGAACGAGCATAGACGTATCTAGAACAATATTACTGTTCAATTTATAATATACATATATGATGCCGTTGCTAGCTTGACTGACATGGAAAAAAGAATCCTCTTGGCGAGAGACAACAATCAAATCATTCATCTCTTCATTTTTCTTTTTATCTTACATTCTGCCAGCTGGTTAATATTGTACAAGCTAATCGTCATACCTCATTAATATTGGCAGTAGACAACCTTTCACACGTATACATGCATATACCGAATTACTAATCCATACTTAATGACATCGTCATCATTGACTATATCATATTGACTAGTTTATGGTGTTTTTTCTGAAATAGAAGATAAATGATAAATGAATATAAACGAAAAATAAAGTAAAAAGATCATCTACTTCTGTATGTTGGTTTTCCGATAGACACTGACATGAAGAACACAAGTGGTGGCACGCACATCGATCCACAATAATTTGTTTTTTCTTCTGTCTCTTCCTTTTTTTGCTGATTGAACGAGTATGTGTTTGAGGAAGAGGAAAAAATTTCTTTGTCGCGTATTGTTTCTTTGTTTCTAGCTTCTCGTGCTGATATATGACGAAATAATTCTCATCATTTTTTTATGTCGACATTGTCAGTTCTCTTTATTCACACGTTTGCATACAGACTAGTCCAGTGTGCCACATAAACATGTTTTAGTCTTCTGAAATATATTTTTCTATTGTTTATGGATTAATAATAAATAGTTTTTTTTTTGTTCAAGATCATATAAGGTAACAGATAATGCAGAATGTTTTTTTTTTCATTATATACTATCAAATAAGATGTGTTCCAGCTGAGGCACGTTTCTCTGCCTAATAAATGACTTGTTTTCTCTTTGGCATAGTATTGTTGTTATCTCTTCTTACGGTCATATTTCGAAATGCGACGAATGTATAGAAAAGAAGAAAAAATTATTTCTATATGAATTAATGATTGTGTATGAAAATAGATGTAAAAAATAGAAATAAATATATAAAATAATCAATCGAATCTTTTTTCTGTGCCATTGGTCTTATTCTTTCGAAAATTCAAAATCATCAATGGCTTATTGATGAAAAGAAAATATGATGGATTCACACCTTTATATTTAGCAGCACTTAATAATCATTTTCTTGCTACTGGATTACTATTAGCTAAAGGAAATGCATCCATTAATGAACAAAATATTAGTTAAAAAACTGCTCTTGCAACATTCATAAATTTTAAATATAAGAAGAATTTTTCGAAAAATATATTTCATTCGAAAAAAAAAATATTTTAATGTTTTGTTTGTTAATAAGTATTATGTAGTACGAATGCCAATGTTAATTCAGCTGACAAAGATGATGATAATGTCAACATGAAGCTGTAAGATTTCACACATTATCACAATTAAAACAATTACAATATGTTGGAGACACTGGAAGAGTTAGTATTCATTCAAAAAGAAGTTATTATTTAAAATAATACTGGTTCCAACAATAATTTCATGAATGATGTAAGTCTTGCAGTAGTATTAGCTCATTTACTATAATAATTACAAGAAATTCGTAAACAAATACATTGTTCAATATATATGTAGCGATTAAAAATGATAGTATTTTTGTGTGGTCATGATGTATGTGAAAATTATGATGATCATGTTCAAGAATGTCCAATATGCTGAAAAAACCAATTGAAAAATCTATTTTTTCTTTTACATACATTGAATAAAAAAGTAATCGGTGTATCTATATATGCGCGATATGTTCACTTTCTTTGCATCTACTTTTATTGTACAACGAAAAATGAAAAAAAAATGATTAATTGCATGTTTTAATGTCAATATGAATGTTGTAACTGATACGATGTTTAATATCTTTTAGAATGCTTGAATAACTTAATTATTGGTTGCGTCTGATTTCTTAGTTGTTAGTTCGTCGATCATTTGTTGAATTTGTTGATCAAGAAATACGATTGACGTCTAAATTATTATTAAAGAAATTTGATAAATGAATAATATAAATATGAACAAGTCGTATTCTAGATAGTTCTATTTAGAAGGTTTCCATGTGTTAATATGAAATCGGGCACGTACGAATAATTGCACCAATGATTATCGAAATTTATTAAAGTATCATTTGCTCTTAACTAACTATTTCTATCGTACATATAGAATTGCTAAATTAGAGAACTGTTTCGTTTGCTTAATAATGATAACAGCTGACAAACAAAAATTAGAACTATTGTAATTTCCGATTTCTCAAGAAAGTTTTCCTGTAATTAACAACAATAAAGCATCCACTAAATAAGAGATATGTGTAATATATTTACTAATAGGCTTTCGTGAAAATGATGAATAATAGGAATATATATATGTAATCCTAATCGAAATTAATTTGACTCAGACTTCTTCAACTCATCTTTACTTTTAGTTGAAATAAGTTAACTTAGTTTTTTGATCCTATTTTTTTTGTAAAGTTGAAATTTGGAAAACAAGACAAAATTCATTTTACATTTTAAAGATGAAATAAATATTATTATCAAATAAATTTACAGGCGATCATCTCTCTCGGGCCCATTACTCCTTCTATTTGAGTATAATAGAATGATTTCTCATCAGTAGTAGCTACAAATGTATAACATCGTACAAAATAAAAAAGAACTCATAATAAAGAAAATTTTAAATTTATTCTTTATAAAAATAGAACATCTAAATTAAAAATATTGACTATCACAAAATATTGCTAAAAGATTACAATTTTCTTCTCATCTTATTTCAGAACTTATATAGAATATTAATTTTCTACCTCATTCGATGGTGTTTGTTGTTGAATAGAGTTTGCAGTTGGTTGATTTATATTTCCATTCGATAAATTCCAATCACGAATTCGATTCAAAACTACTTGTGGTATATTTTCGTTACTATTTGTTGTGGAAAACTGTAATTGTTGCGCTGGTTGTGGTAGTGATGATGGTGGTGGAGTTGTATTATTAATTGGTAGGTAATGAATTACCGAAGGTGATGTTCGCCGTGGAACATCTTGAAACTGTGCTTGTGGATATTGTTGTAGATTTCCTTGTTGAAATTGCATCTGTGGTTCTTGTTTTTGATAAATTTGTGGTTGTTGTTGTAGATTTCCTTGTTGAAATTGCATTTGTGGTTCTTGTTTTTGATAAATCTGTGGCTGTTGTTGATAATATAATGGTTGATGTTGTGGTTGTTGAAAGGATACTTGTGGAGATGTTCGTTGTTGCGAAACAATGATTGGACTGGGCGGCTGATATGATAACGGTTGTGTTTGATATTGTGGATGTGGTTGTTGTAACAATTGTTGTGATGGTCCTACTGGCGATGCTGCATTGTAAACACCATATCGACGGATAACTTCTTCGGCAACATTCGGTTGAGAAAGAATATATTTTAATATAGCATCTTGATTATTTACGTATGTAGTTTGTTGTGATTGCTGTTGTGATGGACCAGATGGAGATAAAATATTCTGTGGTGATGCAATGCTGTTATTTTGACTTTCATACGCTATAGATGTATAATCATGAACACTGATTTCATCAGAACTCTAAAGAAAATTTATTATTAGTATTTCATAATAAACTAATTGATGTTTTTACCTGTTCATTATCGAATGCATTTGATGTCATTGGAAGTAATGATGCTAATGAATCTAAAAAAACAAAAAAATAATTGTATATTAAAAGAATTATAGTTAGCAGTTTACTTGGACTGAATGGAAAAAAATCATTTGAAATTTGACTATTATTATCAGAGCCATCTTCATCAGTATTTCCATCATTAGCACTAATTTTAAATAAAGAAGATTAATGTAATAATAATGAATCTAATTTACTTGTCGATAAGATCTGTAACTGGTTTATATTTTTCATCATTTTTCAATATTTCTTGTAATCGTTTATCTAATTTGATATTCAAAAGAAAAAAAAAATTAAATTATATTTCTTAAGTTTTATTTAACTTACGATGATATTTTGAAAATTCACCAAATGATAAATAGGCTTTCTCATTTGTTCTATCATCAAAATCTGATAGAACATGTATACGATTAGCATTTTCTGTATGAGCTGATGATACAAATTTGCTAATATCAGTTACTAATGTAGCAGAATCAAATGTACGATTTTGTAATTTTTTTGTACGATCTTAAACATAAAATCTTGTAAATATGAAGGGAATTATTAAGAACAAACCATTATAAATATCAACACGAATAGCACATGCAGGAAATTTGATTGATCTGTTACCTGTTGAAGATGCTGAAATAGTAGTATAATCAATTCGAATCGAATTAAAACGAAGTGAAATTATTGGTGAACCAGACATAGACGATTGTACAATAGCTTCAGCTGCTCGTTCACTGTTACATATGCCAAGAAAAAGACTATATAATATTAATAAGAATAAATTCAACTGATTTTATGTTTACAAAAGAAATTTACCCATCGGCATGAAACATAGCTAGAAGTGGATGCTTAGCCATAAATTCTACTTGATGTACAAAATTGACAAGAAAATCCTAAAGATAAAAATTATAATTTTCTGTATAGATAGACGAACTAACTAATTGTCAATAATAGGAAAGTAATAACAATTGTACTATTATCGAATTTTAATGTCGATTAAGGTTTAAGTTAGAAATTTCAGTTATATATCGATAAATATATTCTGATCAATTTTGATTTTATCCGGAGTAATATTAATAAATCTTGATTGTAGTTATTGTGATACGTTCTTAGTTGATGGAGTTCATTCTGTGTTGTAATACTACTTTAATGCGTTCTTGAGTCGAGCTCTTGGACAAGTGCAAAAAGAATATGAAAACGAGAGAAAACATTAAGATGTTCCATTTTGTAATCCAGCTATGTATATATTCTCATAATAACAAAAGATGAAGTTTTAGTATAAAAACTTTCAAATATCTCATTACTAATACGTTTCTTACAAAGAGCTACATACCAAATAAATATCTTCTATTGATTGAGAATCACTTCTTTGATCTATAAATATAAACATTTATGTATGAACATATCTTGAAAAAAATTTAAATCACTTGTCGCTTTAATTAATTCTTGTTCAAGATTAATACTAACACATCCATTAGGTCGAACACCTGTTCGATGAATAAAATAACGTTGCATATAATTTAGAACAGTTCTAACATCAGCTGGCCGAATCTAAACATTCACACAAAACTATAATTTAACTTTTCTATTCGTTTTCTTTTGTTTTAATACTTTTGAAAATCTTTGAATATCATCAAGTATAACACGTGTTAATAATTGTGGAATTTGATTATTATGAGCTCCAATACCAAACTGTAATGATTCCAAAAGAATATGATATATTGGTGACATTTTATTATCGGCTAAATTAAGCTATAATAAATCAAATATATAGATTAGTTTTATTTTGAAAAATTCTCATCATTTATTGTATGTTAATTTACTTGAAGTTTAATTGCAAATTTAAATGAATGTAATAATTGAGCAAATCGAACACGTGTATCAGTTTTTGATGATTGTTCAATAGTAATAGCAGATAATTCAGCATAAAGAAATGTTCGTGATTTACCACCTGGAGCTGTTTGTAATTGACATGTTTTCCAAGAAAGTGATCGAGGTTCTTCAAGTTTATAATAAGGTGATGATGGTGATAAACTTGGTTCTTAAGATATAAATATAAAATATAACTATATAAATAAATATTTCTTTAATTTAAATACCGATATCGAAAAGTTCTATTAAATTTGGATGTGTTTGGATAAAATCATGTAACAATGAAATGATAGTAACAGAAATTTTAGCTGTATATTCACCAGGACCTTTTCGTTCATATATTGTCACCGGATTTACACCAGAATGAGGTTGAGCAACAATTAAAAATGAACTAGAATATGAAAATAAATATCAATTGTCTTTTCTTGCTTTTTATTTATCAAAAATATTATTATTACGTTCGAAACGTTGCCTCTAATTCATTGATATACGCTTGACGAGATTTTGAATCACGAGACATTTGAGTAACAATATGTGTTAATTGTTCAGTGGTTCTGAAGAAGAAAGAGAAATACAAAGTTTTATTGATAATCATTAGTTTTGTTTTTGTCAATCATAGTTCAGTTAGAAAACATATTTGGAAAACGACAATTATCATTTTATAAAAATAGATCGAATTAAATCGCTTGTTCTACACTTAGAATAACTTTGTTTAGAAAATTCTTTAAATACAGCATTTCATCTATAGGGATATAAAAATTTTTTCGCATGAATGATCACAATTAATATAAACAGTTTTCATTGTCATCGGTTCGCTACTTACAATCAATAGATACATACATGAAGAACCAAAAGTGAAAATTTTTTTTGACATTTATTCATGTCTTAATGCTAAGAGCAATTAGTGTTATGAAAAAAAAATATTATAAAACGTTAACCGGAAGAACTGAACTCAACAATAATTTCATGAGAATGAATGTATGATTAACCATGTTTGAATATGAAATTTTCTTGAAAGCTTAATTATTTTACAACCTAAAGTAAAGCAAAGTTACTTTTCTCGTTATATTCAATGTTCACTTTAGCTTATTTACGTTGTGAATTTTCAAAGTATAAAATCTAGATGAAAAATAATGAGAACCAAAATAAATTCTAACACATATATCTTTGTTTTAATAATATATATAAAATGAAATAAAACATGCCTATTTTGTAAATAAACCAAATTTTGAGGTTGCTTAACTTCATCATGACTATGATAAAAAAGACGTCGTATTTCTTGTGCATATTTTCGATCATTGAATTCTCGTTCACGTTTTCGAAAATCCTAAATATATAAAGATATATGACATAAATCGATAAAAATAATTATACACAAGGATTTTGAGCATTTTGATTATCTGCCATTTTATATTGCATTTCAAGTCTTATGTCAGATATAATTGATGTAAAACGTGATTCGTTCTTTATAATAGATAAATAGAAATGTTAAAATCTTTAAGACAAAAAAAAAAAGAAAATAACATTTGAATTATTTTTCTACCTCTTTAATATAAGATATTAAACGAGTAAGCATTAAACATTTTTCAACAGATGCATCAATCAACGGTAAATTACTACGTTTATCTTCCAATAGTCCAGAAAAATTAGTAGCTTGTCTGTAATTAAAGAAAAGAAAAAATAATCATTTGTTAATTTTAATTTCTTTATTTTACCCCTGTCGATTACGTTTTTCACTATCATCAATAATATCAGAAAAATTTATATCACATATGGATTTCCTTGTTACAAATGCTTGTATACCAATTGTTTTTTCGGAATATTCATTTGATGCCAAAAAATCATAACAATCAAGAAGACTATATAGTACACTCTAAATTTATTTTAAACATTTTTTAAATTCTAAAACCAAAAAAAAAAAACGAATGCAAAAATAACTTACCGTTTGTGGTGTTAACACTGGTACTTCTGAAAATAATATTTGAATTAATAAATTTGAAATTTATCAATACTCACGCGCTGCTGTTGCACGCTTTCTTTTTGTGGTATTCGCGCTCATTATAAACGAGAGAAAGAAAAATAAAGGTATATATATATCTAAAAAGAAGTATACTGGTAGAAAATTTTCAAATAGTTTAGAAAAACAAGATATTCATCTGACTGAAAAAGGCTTATTTCTCACATTATTTCTAATTGATTAGTTTTAAAGCATATTTATATTAATATTTTTTTCTCATTGAATATTTCATCATTAACTATATTATTCATTAAATTTAAAATAATAACTATTTGAGAAAATTATTTTATAAAGCAAATAAAATAATATGATCAATTAGTTTTATTTTACATTGTTTTTGATTGTAATTGATATGTAATTTGAATAAGTTCCTGCTGATTTTCGATAGATGATAATGAATATTATTTTTTGATAAATGGAAGAAACTCTCTGCTTTAAATGATGGAAAATAGTTGTGGTAGTTCATCATTAATCTGTTCTAGTAAGATATGTTGCAGTACTACATGTTGACTATTTTCATTAACGAGGATAATCACAGGAAGTACTATGGAACATACTTCATAATGTACAATGATAAACTTTATAGTTAGCAATATAGCAAAGTAATTTACGTCAATATTGAGAACAGTATGAAGATAATGATGTTAAGCAAAAACTTCAATATATTTTTTGTTGTTTTTGAAATCGGTTTAATTGATGTGATTGGTATATGAATTGTAATTATTAACAGTGGTATTAATATTGTTGTTGAAGAATGCGGTGATGTGAATGCTATGATACTTGATAATAAAACTAATGATTTGGTAGTAGTGTTTGTAAAATCTCATTTCTATGTTATTGGAAGTTGTTATTATATCTAATATATAATTAAGTTTATATACTCGTTAAATCTATTATCGTTGTTCATATGATTGTATTCCATTGTTTTTATTGAGATTTGACAATGATGAATAAGTAGAATCTTAAATTAATCGAAGTCTCAAAATAGGAAATATAATATCAGCAGATCTTGTTAATTAACACCTCTATTTTTGTTCCTACATTGAAACAATAAAGCAAGTTTTTAGAATCACTGAAAAAAAGACTATGTATTTGAACATAAACTCAGTTAGAATTAGTCACGAAACATGAACAGGATTAGCATTTTTGGTTTGAGTTTGAACTCTGACGCTAATGCAGTCGAAATTGTCGCGTGGATATCTAATAGTTCTGAATAATATCTAGGAAAATTTTCATAATACTCATTTTCTAATAGACTTCATTTAAGGAATGACTCTTTGAAATTCTAATTAATATTATATATGGAAATCAAGTTCACTCGCAAACCAATATTATTTGACTTCAGTTTCGTTTTGGGTTATATAAGTCTGCGTTCTAAAGATTGATACTTGAAGAAAAAGTCTTCCACATCTCTAATCATAATTGTCTAAAAATATGATAATATCGTACCTGGACAAAATAGTTATGATGTTCATGTAGACAACATATATTCTTTTGTCCTTTTACATACAAAATAGATATCATTAATTAATAAATAATTGTAAATTTTCTTTGTGGTTACAATGCATGTTGAAATATAATTTTCTTCTCGTGGAGAAATGTTTTGGAGCTTGTTGTCTAGAAGAAAAATCACAATCATACTCAATTATAATAAAAAAATTTTTATATTGCAATCATAAAATTGAAAATATAAAGATATAATCAAAAAGATAGCCTAGATTTTTGTCTATGGTATAATTATTCAATATATATTCAAAACATAGCACGTCATATAAAACACTTTTTTTCGTAATTGATAAAATCAATTCAAATAATATGTTATATTGGTATGAAATGTTAAGTATTACATACACGAAGAAAAATTTTATAGAATATAAAAATTTCTGTATCATTTGTGATTTATCACATACAATTCCTACTAACAAAAAAGTCAATGTATACTGAGATACTTTTCTCATTTATCATACTATTCATTAAACTAAATCGAAAGGCATAAATAGATTTTCGATTATGTTAACTTTGTTCTTTGTAATAATTTATTTACCCATACGAATAGAATAGACTTCAGAATGAATATTTTATTAAAAAAACAATTCAAGGGTGTGAGTGGGAGCATCAATACTTCCTCTTTCTTATCATACTCAAGCTCACACCATAAATTTACATCTATATCTATTCACCTAAATGTAAATTAGAAAAAAGTAAATAAATTGGAAATTATTTTTATTTATACTTATATGTATTGATAAATGAGTTTCTTCTCGTAATTGCTTGGGGTAATATTTGATTTTTTGAAGATATCTTTTCAGTGCATTGTATGTAATTCTGTTCTATTCTCGAGTTAAAACGTACTTTTTATATTGACGTTACATACTGCAAGGTTGTTAAAAGCAAATAAATATAGGAAAAAAAAAAAGAAGTAATGTCTTCAATAGAAGCAAAGAAGTGTCGTGCTTAGTAATTCGTGAGAAAGAACGAAGAAAAAAAAATTACAAAACGCCGTGTGTCACATTCTAAAATAAATAGTCAAAAAAAATTTCACCAGACGTCGCATTTCCGAGAAAAGTAAAATAAATTGCGATTCACCGACGGCTTTCAAAAAGTATATTCTACGTATATATAAGTTGTTCCATGAAACTGCCGATGTAATTTATAATCTTTCCTGTGTCAACAAAATGCTTAAAGCTGACGTTATATGTTTGACTTTTACTTGCAGGATGTCAGAAATAATCTACCAAAAAGAAAATCGGTTATCTCCACTTCATTTCAGTCAGTTGATCTGATATTTTTCTAATGACAGAAGAGGCTTCCAAATTTTTATTTGCAAAAAATAAAATTTATGAATATTACTGAAAACAATTACTATTGACTTCAATACCAAATTGAAGCCTTTTTCAGTATGATAAAATAGTAGACAACATTTTTTTTACTCAATTAATACAATTTTTCTCGTAACTTCTGATCTTAAATCATCCAGATCTTCAACTTTTGGTTTATAAACACTTGTTCGGTTGTTTTCTTGTAAAAAGAAGTGTAACAGTGTACAGTTCAATGACTGCAAAAACTATGAAATCGTTTACATCTTGCAGCTCATCAATTGTCAATGTTTTCATCGTACTGGAGACAAATTGTTCAGTAGAAATGTATCATTGATTGTTTTTTTATTGAAAAGTGTTCAAAAGAAGATTTATAGAGCAATTATGAAAGATTTGGACAGCTTAAAGTCGAAGATTACGAAAAACGTTGTATATTATTTAATCATATCGAAAAAAGCTTCAATTTAGTATTGCAGTAAATAGTAATTGTTTTCAGCATTATTCATAAACTTTATCTTTGCGAATAAAAACTTGAAAGCCCCCTCTACCATCAGGAAAAAATCAGCTGAGATAGAGTGGAGATAAACGATGTTATTTTTGGTAGGTTATTTTTGGGACATCCTGTATATTTGAAAACTGTAGTTGATTCCGAAAATTTCTATTTTAATTTTCTATAATGCTAAAAAAAATTAATGATGAAAGGAGTCTTTATCCTCTTAGCATTAATTAGAGTTTATCCAAAATGAATCTCTAAGTCTTTGTCTTTTTTCTTTTTGTGTACTCAAAAAGTGAGTACACTACTAAAATCGGTCTGTGTGTCCGGCCGTCCGTCCGTATACACGATAACTTTCGAAAGGAGAGTCAGATCGCGATGAAATTTTCTACACAATTCAGTCTTTACAATATCTCGGTCGAGTTCCAAGATGAGAAGGATCCGTCGAGAAATGACTGAGTTATCAAAAAAATTGTGATTTTTGACCAGACCATCCCTGAGGGGGGGTACAGGGATTTTTTCAAAAAAAAAAATTTTTTCTCTGAATTGTTCACAACATATATAAATCGACTCAGTTTTTAACGCTGATTCTGAATCTGATATTAGTTTTGAACCGAATCATAGTTTTGTGTACTCAAAAAGTGAGTAGACTATAGAATAGTCAGTGTGTCCGTCCGTCCGATTGGCTGTTTACATAATAACTTTTGACAGCAGAGTCAGATTGTGATGAAACTTTCTACACAGCTTAGTCTTGACAATACCTCGGTCGAGTTCGAAGATGAGAAAGACCGGTCGAGCCGTTCCTGAGTTATTGCAAAAATACCCATTTTTCCCTATAGCTTTCTGTGGAAAAATGGACCCATCGCGACTTTCGTAAAAGACNTTTCAGTACATCAAACTTTAGCTTTCTCGAAAAAAGCTATTCTAGTAAAAACATCTTATTAATAGTGAAGATTTTTGTACGACTCTCAGTTACTAAAATACCTTGTTCAACTACGTGATGCTTTTGAAAACGACACAGACCCTCCATCTTTTGTTTTTGAAAGAACTTATTTATTCGATCCTTTTATCATAACGTCTAAGATTCTTTCCGAAAAATAGAATAAGTTCAGCATCCCCAAACCTTCATTATTCAAATTTAGGGGAGGCTTGAGCCTCCCGAAGCCTAATGGTTCCGCCGCCTATGCGTGGATGAGTACCTCAGAAACTGTAAAAAATCTTTATATACGAAAGTAAACGTGCTCTTTGCGAGATTGGCTCGAGTGCCAGCATATATAGACCATCGAATTCAGCGTTTGTGATTACATTGAACGTCAGGAAGAACCTAAATCGAAAGAGATAACAAAACGTAAAATTTCACAAATAAAAACTATTTAATAAAAGTATATGAGCAAGCTTCCGTGAATTAAAAAAAAACATTTTTTCAATGGAATAAAAACTCCTTTCCTAAATGCGTTGTCGATATCTTAAATACTGTCTTCTTTTTAAATCACGATTTATATGAAACCAGTTATAATAAAAATATTGTAAGAGAAAATTTAGAAATAAAAATTACGATATGTCTGAAATAGACTAACACATAAATCATCAACACCGAGTATATGTGCATCAATTGACTTATTCATTATATAAACTGAAAAATAAGTTCATATAATCTAAAAAAATAACTTGTATAAATTGCCAATTGATGTAAAAAATAAAATAAAAAGAACAAAAAAAAATATTATAAGCGCCTACGTACGTGATAAACATTATCTTTACTCAAAAAAAAATAAAAAGAATAATTATCTAAAATAATTTTTGATCAAAGATATTTTATAATTTCCATTTCTTCACAATAATTACAACTTAAAAATAAGAATACAAAGTTATTTTATATTTTAGTGAAAAACTGCCATTTTTCATTCTTATTTACTCATAGCTTCTACAAAGCAGACGAGAACGCTTATAAACGCGTGCGAAACGAGCAACCTATGTAGAACGCATTCGAAATGCATTCAGAATGCGTTTTCAGACGTTCGTCTTGACCTGGGTTTTTATTTCATCTTATTTTTATTTTAGGTACTTTAACACTGGCTCTTTCTGTGACCAGTCAGATGCCTCAAGGCCTAAAGTGTAAAGGACTGTTTTTTTATTTAATGTATTTTATTAGTTTATTTAGTTTTATTTTAGTTTTGTTTTATTTTAATGATATTTATCGTATTTTTTATTTTATTGTTTTTTGCTTTATTTTCTTTTCTTTTAGATTTTAGTGCGGGATGAAATTAATCAACAGTGAATATAAGTTTTTTATTCCTTTTTTATCTTTATTTTATTGTTTGGTGTTGTATTTGATCTTTTTTATTTTAGGTTCTATTACAGCAAGAAGTGAATCCACAGTGAGTAAAAATTTTTTTTATTTTATTCTCTCTTCTTTTAGTTTTATTTGACTTAATTTAATTTTTATCTTATTGTTTTTTGTTTTATTTTATATTATATTGTTTTAGACTTTATTACTACATGAAGTCAGTCAACGGTGAGTATAAATTTTTCATTTTTTTAATTTTTATTTCCATTTTATAGTTTTTAATTTTATTTTATATATTTTTATTTTATGACATTTTTTTAATTCATTTTATTGCGTTTTATTTTTATTTTGTTTTATTTTCTTGTATTATTATTTATTTTGTTTTATTTTTATTTTTATTTTAATAAATTTTATCTTTATGAAATTTGATTTGCATTTTATTTTATTTTTTATTAAAATATGAAATCAGCAGGATTCCATTGGATTCGGAGTGTATCCGACATTTTCGGACTATCGGATCCGACATCCGACAACTTCCGATCGGATTACCGTAACAAGGATTCCGGCAACTTCCGATAGGATCCTGTCGGAAGTTGTCGGATTCTTCGTCCTGGGTTATATAAAGAACTGAAAACTTCAGCGCAAATAAAACTGCAAAACAAATACTCTCTGTATGAAAGTTATAGCGTAGATCACGCAGTAGAGAAAGGAACAAGAAAATTTGAAAAATATAAACAAATGCTTTTTAAAAACTAAAAAAATTTTATGACGGCATAACGCTTTTTAAAATGCAGCTATTTTCATCGACGTTTATTTTTCATAAAGTTAACTGGACTTCCACCGGAATGAAAATATTTGTAACAAATCTGAAAGAACTATTAAGAAAACGTCTCACATAATTCTTCTGACACAGTAAAAATTACCTAATGAAAGCATGAGTTTCGCATTCTTCTCACTTTTGTCGAGATGGATGGACCATTTCATGGATAGGTCGAGTTTATAAGCTTCATGCTTAATCCTAATTGTACTTCTCATGTTTAAAACATATGAACTCATCACCCTTATCAATATCACTTGCATCTTTTAATAGATCTTTCGCATTTTCGATTTTCTAGATTAATAGAAGTTCTTAGAAATTCAGTTATATATTCGATTGATTCATTCAAATGATGTTGAGTTAATGGTAAATAATGAGTTTTATATTTGGCATATATGAAAACAAGAAGGTAAAGAAATATCTCTAAGAACTATTTTAACTACTACTTAGAATTCGATATACAAACTAAACAAATGATGAAACTTTGTAAGAAAGAAATAAAAAATACATAAATCACACAACTGATAACAACCCTAACGAATGTGCTGAATTCCAAGTATCGTGATATTAGCGTGTCAGAGGAAACTTTGGTTACTTAAGTACTGTAACACGGTACTTTATGGATTTTAGCACTTGACTACAAAATGCTTCTAGATTCTCAATCTACTAATTCTTTGAAAAGCTTTGCATAATATGCTATAGAAACCGGATAAGTATCTGGTAAACACTCATTTGTCGAGGCAATTCTCAGCACAGCGTTCAACGAAGATCCTGTGAGTTAGTGATAACAGAGTACTAGGAAAGGTACTCAGCTGACAACTGACTCAGTACACGTATATCTTGAGTTCTGTACATTCACCAAAGAACGAAATAAAATGTAGGTCGTTGTTTCTCGAGAAAAGAGTGAAAAGGACACAAAAATCTACTAATGAATGATGTCTGTTTGTAGTTAAACAAAAGAAATCGATGTGTTTTTAGTGAAGCAAAACATTTCGTGAAAATTCTTTGAACAAATAAGTTAACTAGAACATTGAAATGCATTCAGTTTTAAATATTAATTAACTATTATTTAAAGTTATCCATTAATTAAACAAATAAACAATAACAGCAGATTATCATTTCGTTTTCTTCAGATAGATATTTTAGATAATATTTAAGCAAATATTAATGCTCATCTCAACTCAAAATACATCATTATTTCTAGTTTCTTAATGAAAATATTGCCTAAAATACATATTCTAAACAACATTATGAAATAAAATGCCTATGCATATTTTTTTATTTTATTACCATACTTAATGCTTCGAGTATCAATAATATACAACAACAGAAAAATGTGATCGATTTCTCTAAATTCACCATATAGTTAGATCAAAAGATTATCATGAAAAGTAATTTTTACTATCATTATTACTATTATGATATTGTAATCACTCCATAATTTCCTGCTAGAAAAAGACTTGAATAAAATTATGAGATTCAATATTTCTTTGTTTTTCCATAATTGTAAAAGAATGAAAATCCTACCCAAGTGTTTGGTTACTTCTTGGAATGAGTTCTCTTGATAAAAGATCCGCTTGACTATATGCGTATGCATTGAACAAATTCACTATATGACGTACATTACTCTATGTAACATCATCTTCCATAAGCCAGACATAATCTATCGAACTTTGATTATAAAGCCAAACAAATACTCTATCTCAAACTTGATTTCTAGTTAAACCATAGCGAGCAAGCTGTTCATTATTAACATATAAAGTACGATTGGTTGAATTAGTATACTTGGATGGTTCTTCATCACACCTAACAAAAGCATCAACACCAGCATTGACTAAGACATTTAAATGTTTTAAAACTTTGATTGAAGGTTTTCTCGCTAATATTATTGCAGTATGATGAACACGTTTATTTATTCGAGAAGAAAAATAAGATACTGATTTAACTTCGAAAGATAATTGAAATAGAAGATAGTATAAAATAAAACAAAGGACGAACAGAATAATGCGCTTAAGCATATAAAGATACCACATTGATTATGATTTATAATGTTTATCTAGTGATCAGGTAACTAAATACTAAAATGACATGATCTTGCATTCAATATACATTTATAATAATAATCTTCACTTTAAGTATAGGCAGAAATTGACGAGACGTGTACAATTCTTTTTACACAAAAAATGAACAATTTTATACTTTTCTTTTCGATGATCCTATCTACAAAATATTTCGCAGTTTTAAAGACGAATCTCGTTCTAAACTAGTATTGCATTTAGTCTCTGTTTATGAAAAACAACACCGTGCTTGTTAAACCTACTCATATTTCGTCATGCAAATCACTGGAGTGAAACGGTGAAATAACAAAGCAGATTGCTGAGGTCCAAACGATGATGATTGTCAAAATACTTTATATCTGTAGTACGTGTCGATCACACATAAATGCAAAGTAACAATGGAGAGAGATAAACACATCAAAGAACCATAAAGACAATGAGAAAGAAAGGATAAAAGAAAAAAACAAGTGAAGATATCAGTGAGAGAGTGATTACAATATCGGCACATACAGTATGAAATGTATATAGCTAGAAAAGTAATGCTACCAATAAAACTCGGTATTCATCGGTATTGGTATTAGTTTTATACTTTTCGGTCAAGAATATTCAATAAGTCATTGATTTGCTACATTTTTCATGTTGAAATTTATTGATCTGTGATGATCGACTCTCGGTCGGCATATTTAACTTCAATAGAATATCTTTTGAGTTTCGCGAAACTCGAACAAATTATTAATTACTATTATCGATTTATATAACGAATTACATCCATTTGCAGAAGCATTTTCAGTTCTTGTTGGTATTATTAAAGCTGCAATAGCAATTCTAGTATCTTCAACAACATGTGAACGTACATTTTCAAAAATGAAATTAATTAAAACAACAGTTCACAATTCGATAACTGATAGTCGCTTGAGTGATCTTTGCCGATTGACTATTGAGCGTGATACAGATATAAATTTCAAGCAGCTCATTGATAGTTTTTCAGAGATTCACAAAAGTAGTTGAATATATGTTAAAATAAGTACTTGTTTTTTTTTGTTCCTTTATGGTGTTCAAGTATTTTTACGATAGTTGATTATAAATCTACGAAAGTTGATGTACTTACGTAATCAGAAAGATTTGCATCATTTTTTGCTTTAGTATTTAGCAAATTAGTAATGCATATAAACATAGTAGGTATCTGAAGAAGGTCGCAACAAACAGAAGTAGTGGGGGCTCAGCCTCATCATCATTAATTTTCTGATGACGTCACTAGAAACGGGATCAATAATCTTAATTAGTAAGGTATCTGATCGTTTGTGTAACCATTCATTTATTTATTTGTCCTTGTTTTCTTTAGTGATTACAGCTGCCGTGATTTATTATATAATTGAGAATATGCAAAAGATTAAACTAAAAATATTTAGTTATTTTTTAATATCCACTGTAAAAAAACGAAAGATAAATCGTAAAACATACTGATCAAGAGACATGATGGATTGATTGTTGTTGAAATTCTACTTTTAGTCATTGTAAGGCTACACACTTTGGATATCTAATCATTCAGATTTAAATTGTCTACAATTTTTCCAGCAAAAATCTTTTAATTTGATGTCACCTTTATTTAGAAGGCGATTATATATAAAAATGCACGCATGATAGTAATTTTGATGTAGCGTTCAGATTAGCTCCAATTTACTGTAGAGAATTTCATAAACATTAAGGCGATGTAAAGCATAGCATTTGTGTGATCAGTCGCGTACGCATTTGGCCTCCATAATTTGAGCGTTTGTTGGTACAACAAAATCTGTGCATTGTGTCACGGTGCTATAGAATCATGTTAATACAAGTCTCATCTTCGAAATTTAAGATCGCTTCACACGGAAGTTATATAATATTGTGCAAATTTTCTTTTTTTCATCCCTAGACGTACGTGGTTCAAAGTTATCATTTTTGTTCACGATGATCTGAAAAATGAAAAGTTTGAAAAAATTGTTTCAAATGTGAGAATGAAAGTTCATGATCGAATCTATATTACTCGTTTCCCAATCTTAAACATAATGTTACAATTTCTTAGAAAAGGCCATCCAAAAATGCAAATTTTTTGTTGTTTTTGAAGCTTCGAGACAATTAAAATACGATGGCAACAACAAAAACTAATCAATACTCATTTCGCCATTTCTAAGACACCAATGAATACAATTGATGATAGATATTGAATCAGAATGATAATCAAGCAATCAGTTAGTAGTCTTCATTAGAAATATACTGATACTTGTTAATAGAGTTATCTCATCAATGAATTTCAAAGTGACCATTTTTCACTTTAATTTTGTTTTTTATCAGCTGATTGACGGATGCGTATCTTTGTTCGATTTACAACAACAACAAAAATCTGATTCTGGTAAAACATAAATATCTTTCGAAGAAAAATATTTTAATGATAAATCTTCACAACCATTATTCTTTTTTTATCAGATGCCAATTTCTTTCGACAATCGACATACCAAGCTTCGCAGTACATTTCGCAGTCGAGTAAAACTTAGATATCATCTAGTAAATGTTTGTATTTACTTTTTTATCGCATATTTATGTTGAGACAATATTTTCAACAATATATTGGAGACAAAAGAACGTAGAAGTTCATCAAAGTAGTATTAGTCGAATTATAAATGCATCATAAATGAACTATAGCATATGTTGTAATGTAGAGATGTATGATATATAATTAGATTTATTAAAATTGATCAAATCAAATAGTAAAATTGTATTCAAAAGTTAATGTGTCAAGCAATTCAATTTATATGTGTCAATCAGTTTTTCTTGATTTTATACGAGAGAAACTTGAGTCTTACTTAAAATTTCATCATGCACGACGTTAAGAAAAGCTAAAGAAAGATGTTGAACGAAAATCAAAAACAATTTTCTTGTTTGTATCAGTGTCAAATTGAACTTGAAACTGGAAAATAAAAAAATATTTAGTTTTCTTTCGTACTCTATCGACATACATACGAAAAGGTCTGATTTTGTATTACGAAAAAATCTTGAAAATAAAACACTCAGACAAAATTGGTTTCAATCATAAAATCAAATTTTTTTTGCTTTTTTTCGAATTGTTATTAATATTATTCGATATTTGAAAAAAAAAACATTTTATTAGTCATAAAAAACGCTTTGTGACAAAGACAAATTTTGTTGTTAAATCTTTTTTTTTCTATATTTACAATATAATTGACAGAAACAATAATAGAAAAATCATGTACTGCTTTCGTCTAGCAACTGATCTTAGGCATTTCATCGATCAAGACAGTTCGTCATAGGTCATCGAATGATCAATCGAAACATATTGCCATTGCTATGTCTATATCTTGATTTTCATTTTATTTGAATTACCTGGTCAAAATAAACAATTTTATAATACAATAGAAAATCGTTTATTATTTCAATGTTAATAATCGAGGAAAAATAAGAAAGTAAACTTTCATTTATAATTTTCAAAGTATCACTTCCTACTTTTAGTTCCATTTGAATACTATCTGATTATAGAAAAACAATTCTATTGTAAACATCCGTAAATCAATATCATATTGAATTTGCATGAACACAATGTTAACTAATAAATTGATTTCTACATGGTAAAAATGCCTCGACAAAAAGAATTCAAACAATTTATTTCAATAATAATTCTTATTATTCTTATTTTCATCTTAATCTATTTTTATTTTCATAAGAAAACTTTCGATCAAATATTTGAATAAGAAACTACTAATCATTTTAGATTATAAAATGCATTTTTCAACAATAGAAAAATCAAATATCTATATTATTAATAAAGCATAATTAATCTTGAAACTCAAATTATTCAATAAAATCTTTGTTACTTTGATTTGCAAAGCAACAAATCTAATAGAAATTTTAATAGAAATATCATGAGACTTTTTTTGTTCTATTATAATTATAATTTTTTTTTCTAAATTTCTGCGTCATTATATGATCAATAAAAATAATTTTTCCTTTTAGTACGAAATCTAAAATTTTCAAAAGACAGAATGACTTTATATGTATTTTACTTTTTTTTTTTTAGTTCATTAAAAGCTTCATAATATATGCACGCATACAACAATAAATTCTATCAACACAAAACGCTTCAAGTCACTCCTGTGCATTGTGTTGTTATTTTTTCGATTCTCATTTTTTCTTCTATTCTTACTGATAGCTTTTATATTGTATTTTTTATCGATAGACACAAAAAAGAATGTTAGGTAAAAAAAAGGACTACTCATTGCTGATGGCAATAACCTAAAGTGTCTATTTGAAAGTTTCTCTATTATATTTGATTGTTGAAATTTGTTTAGAACATTTATTTATTTTCTTTTTCCGTCAGAAATATTTTTCTGCTTCTCCATCTTTTCTTTTCTATATAGTTTTTTTAATGAAAACTAATGCACTTAAACATTGAATAGTCTTCGAATGTTTGACGACAAAAGAAAAAAAAAAGAAACATCGAAAATTGAATTTATTTGTTTTCGAGCATATGCAACATTGAAAGAAGAGAAAAAAAAGTGAAAAAAATAATAAATTTTTTCTGTTGTTGCATATATAGTTTGAATAGTTTTGATTCAAACTTAGAATGGACTTCAATAGTTGGACATTAACATCGTTTGGTAATCAATCAGTTAAGAAGAGCGATGTACTATCACCAGTTCCTAATACACCTAAATTACCAAAAATTGTTTTACGAAACTCAATGGGTTTTGAACTTAAAACAGCAACATCTTTTCAAAATGCGATTTATCGAGCTAAAACAAAATTATTGGAACCGAATCGACGACTAACTGAAATGGAATGGCGGTATGAGAAAAAACATTATATAGATTTTTTTGTTTAACATTAAAAAATAAAATGTGGTTTAGATTACCACATGCACCAGTACCATCAAGACCGGATTATTCACGTTCATTAGAATATGATGATTTTCGTTCAATGAAAAAACC